ATGCCAGAGCTGCGCCTTGGTTTAAACGACAAAGTTCTCTTTGATAACACAGGCCGTGAGTATTTTGGTGATATCTCGGTAATCATGAAAGATGTTATCTGAAGTCTTCGGGTTTGGGATGCTTGAGGTTCAGCTGAAAGGATTTGTTCTGAGATGAAAGAAATACTCCCTTTATCAGGGTAGAAAACCACATTAGGTCTTGTGTGACGATACCGAGCAAAGATGGAATACATGGTAACCGTCTAGGCTTCCTCATCTCTTTTTTTTCACTGGGACTTCCGTAGTCCTAAAAACCTACAGCAAGCTAAAGAAAGTATGGGCTAAAATGTCAGCAGACAACTACTTTGCTGCATAACTGGCTGCAATGAGACTTTGGACATGATTTGTGTAGCACCTTGAAATGTGTATTTTCTGCTAGGCGGCAAGAGTAAATCGGTAGAACTGGAAGATGTAAAGTTTCACCAGTGTGTTCGTCTCTCTCGCTTTGAAAACGACAGGACAATTTCTTTCATTCCGCCTGATGGAGAGTTTGAACTCATGTCTTATCGTCTTAATACCCACGTAAGTCTGGATGTTTGCATTTTTTTTTAATATGGTAACATTTTAGATTGGAGGCGGAGTTGCTACAAGGCTTTCTCTTGTAATTAAGGCTTAATTACAAGAGCTTAAGGCTTTGCCTTAATTTTTTTTTGCTTAAAGTATGGGCAGCGTAGTAGTTTTCAAGTCAACTGTTAATAGCAAAGCTTTGTGCTCACTCTTTTTGGAGGAAGTAAGAATGAGTTTAGAAGTAACTTGGCAATAAGTCTCTATATTTTCAACTACTGTTGAAACTGTTTCTGAAATACCGTTCCTGTAATGACTTTTTTTTTAAGTAACTACGTGATGAAATATCAGCTTAGCAATTCATTGTGCTTGACAACAATGGTATTTAAGTCATTTAATTTTATTAGAGTATGCTAGCCACAGTGATAAGGGTAGCTTTCCCTTCAGAAAAGGAAAAATTCAGTATAGAGAAGGTCTATAATATGCAACAGGAGACAACAAATGAAAAGTTCAGTATTAACTTTTTATTTTAAGGGCAGTAGTTTGAATGAGAGTTATTTTTAGGGCTTGTCATAGCTCAGTCCCTAGCGTGTTAAATGATCAAATATTTTGGAATGCAAGAGTTTGGGTTTAGGGATTACTCTGAGACACACCTTTTTGAGCCTATAATTCTTGTAACCCTTGGTCGTTGGTATATCAGTGC